TGCCCAGCCATCGGAAAGAAATGCCGTACACGTACGCATTTCAGTCACTGCAGACGTATACGAATCTTTTAGCCTTCGTCAGGCCACACGGCCTTTACCTTTCATTTACTTTTTGTTGTAAGCAGCAGAAATAAACTCAATTTAAATACTATGGGAATACTGTAAATAAATAAAATATTACAGCACAGTTCAGCAAAGTAGTGTTGGAAGAATGTTTTACATGCTGACAATCTTGTACGCATACGAAATGCAATTTTGACATTTGAATTTTCACATACTCGGTCTCTAAAACCTTTTATTTTAGCATCGCAATCTCCCTGATATGAGCTTAATTTGAGCGAGGTTTTACCATACATGTGTCGAACATGTCGAGAAATGATTAATCACAGCAAATGCAACCTACCAACTGCGAACTTTTTTTGATTGCCAATACCAAATCTTTGTTGCTCTTTTAAATAACAGCATATCACCTACACTGCAATTTTCAATAACTTCTTACAGATAAATGCTATTTCAGTAGCTTTAATATGCTCATTGTAAATAAACTTACTAGGAAATTAGGAATTCCCAATGGATGGTGAGCAAGCGCTTAAGTTTTACATCAATGCTGTAACTTATTTGCAAAACACTTCGCTACACTGTTCCCGTATGTCCTAGGAGGTTACTTTAATGTCTTCAGACAATATTTGATGACACAGTACTTCCCTTTCCAGATGTCTTGCTTCTCTACAAACCACAAAGGACATCACAAATATATTTGGGCACACCGAAATCCTCCACAAGTCCCACTACAGTGTCGCCACAAAACGCTGCAGATATTACAATGAAAAGGTAAACATTGAAAAGTTGTATCTCACATCAAATGCAGTCTAAAGAAACTTCTGTGGGCACTCAGTCGTAATACCAATGGAAACCACCAAAAAATCATTCGTGAAGTGCGGCTGTTTGATGTGAAAACAAAATGAGGCAGTGGGAACATCAAAAATACGCAGAGAAAAAACTTTTATTCATTCAGCAAACATAGTACTGCATACATAAAAGAAAAGATGTGAAGACAAAACACAACAGTAGTGACTTCTCTACTGGATATGCTACATATGCTACAGCAGCAATAAAAGAAAAAAGAGGAAAGCACTCTGCTATTTACAGCCAATCACCTTTCATTCTGCGTGTGCTCATAATTGGAGGAGAAAGTGTACTCGCAGATGCACACGTTCAAACCTCACAAAAGACAGCTTTCGATAAATGTAAGCACTCGGCACGCACACATTCAGAATAATGTGGAATAAATAAGTATACAAACCACGGCATGTCGCCAAACCCCGGCAGTGCGCGAAATTCTTAAAACGGCTTTCCTCACCTCGTGTGTTGTGTCCAGAAAAGCATACACCGAAACAGCACTCTTTACTGGACCTTACCAAACTCGTATTACGGAATCGTACAACTATGCACTTACCAGGCATGCACCAGTAACTAGAACTAATACCTTATTGCAACTAAACCAAAAGTGACATCTATGCTTTCAGCTAATAAAGTCACCTCAACGAGGCATAGGGTGACACTAGGTCTTTCTAAATCAATAAAACGAGACTTGGCTGCTTCACAATAGCACCAGTGAGTGGATAGCACAGACTAAACTTGCTACACCATGTGCGAAAGCAACACAAAGACCGATACGCCTGATGCCCGATACGCCTGATGCCCGATACGCCCGATACGCCTGATACGCCTGATGAAAAATGAATACAGCCCGATACGCCTGATGAAAAATGAGCCACAAAAATGAGCTTGACGAATATACAAAAGTACCCAACCTAGCAGAGTAAATGAAGCATCTGCGCAGTGTGCACTCGTAGTCAGAAGCAGAAAGCCGCGTTACAATTTATGGCAGTGCTTTGTCCTGCAGTGCGCACACATCCTGTGTACGAAGGAAAGCACAGAAGTGAATGATTTCACGGGCTGACAACATATCGTTGCTCATACACTTCAATGCGGCAGCTTAATTTGCAGCACTCTTCGATGAATGATACAACACCCTTGGGTGATGGCTGTATCGTGAATACAAAGCCTACCCCTACTTAAAGGAGAAGTAAGTATAATCGAAAGTATGGTTCAAAGGGAAATGAACATCAATTTAACAAAAGCTTACAAAAAATAAGACTTGGTTACATAGTTTTAGATGCACGCACACAAGAAGGCAAGAACTTTTCAAACAGCCGCAGCCAATGCGTGACGAACAATGCGGCTTGTTGAAAAGGGATGACTGGATGGGCTGGTCCATCTTTCCCTTTGGTTCGATGATAAAAGAAAAAATCGACACGAAAAGTATAAAACCTGACAGCCGTGCACTGTAGTCTTACTGATAGGTGGTGTTTGCAGATGACACATGCATCCTCACACTTACCAAGAGATCATTCAACTGACGCTAAGCTTTCTTCACACACGTGACTAGTTTTCTTGGCTACATCGAGGAGGGCTCTAAACAGAATGGAAAAAAAGGAAGTCACAAGAACAGCAGTGAAGTGTGGCTTGAAGCTGTCGAAGTGGAAAACGTGTTCGCGACAGTGCGAACTTTCAAGGTTTAATTATTTTATGTGCTTAACAAAGAACAAAGATGTAACGCCAATAATTTCGGCATAAATCATCAATGCACTAGGAGCTCTTGTATCGAAGTAGAACACTCAAAAAAACAGTTGCACCCTAAGAAAGCCTTTTTGTCTGACAACAATTTCACCTGACTGACTGCATTTTGTTTCTTGAGAACTCGGAGTTCGCAACTTCCGTATTGAGAATGCTGTCATGCTGACTACGTTTGTGCCGTTCGCTATCTGAAGGTACCAGGCACGTGGCTCTAAAGTTAGAGAAAGGCATGCACAATGAAAAATTACTATTGCAAGACAAAAGAATGCTCGAGGGGGCGTGTCTGTTTTTAAGAGCGTAGAAAAAATTGCACCTTTTTATTAAAAATATAATATTTGCTTCCCGCTTTTCATTTGCAAAAGAGGAAGGTAACTTACGACATCCCCAATGTGGTGCTAAAATATTTGAACACACATGAAAGGCGAAAGTCAGGTGGATATACGAATACCATGCACTCTCCTTCATCTAACCGGAAACGTCAAAATGTACACGCACGACGGCACTGTAGTGTTCGATGAAATCCCTCTCTGCTAAAAGTCACACACGTTTTTAACACTTCGATATGGCTTCAAGAGCACTCAAAGTACTTGCAAAACCATTCTTCGCTACTAAAACTCTATATGCTTATATATAAAAATTAAATGGCAAGGACAATTAGAAGACAAATAATGGCAGGACAGTTATACGGCGTTATACGAGCCTCGTTTAATTGCTGCCCCGTGCCGTGCGAGCAGCCTTGTACGAGTGATGACGCTTGCGCTTGCGCTACATGCAGGCGCTTGTAGCGACAACTAGCGTGACGGAATGCCCTTGCTCTCACCGGTATAGTATTTCTCGCAGTTCATCACCCGTTTCCAGCTACCTCGCGATCTTCAATAGCTGCTTGCAGTAGCAGACTGTTGGGGCTTTCAGTTACGTACATACACTGAGTCTTTGCTCGTTCAAACTCACTAAGCCCAAACGTACTTGGTGCCATGGAGGAGCAGAAATTTCGCTTTCTGACAACACCTGTACGAACGGGAGAATGCGGGCGATGCGCTGTTACCGCCTCCTGCGAATCGCTCAACGGTATTGTTCCTACGAAATAAATGCTGCGAATAACGTAACAAAAACATGAATCATCACTCATCGCGATTTTCCTATGCCTCTCCAACGATTAGAAACGATAGAATTCGATGTATCAGCCACTAAATGTCGCTTCGTATGTGTGTAGTTTTGAAGCATCAATAGTACGGAAAGTGATATGTACGGTGCCTCAAAATGAAGACAAACACACTCTTTATTATCGACACTACACAATGTACACAAGTTCTATCGGAAAAAAAAAAAAGTTTGAAAAATTTCCCGAAGGATGCTGTTGCGCCCTAGATTGACCACATACTAGAACACGAAAAGTACATGAAAGCGAGCTACACGAACGTATTGTGATTTATAAAGTTGAATGTGTGTGTTTATCTGTCATGTAAAAAAAAAAAAAATCAACAGAGGAGTCGATACAATATGGCAGTCGTAAGTTGGCGGTGAGCGCTGTACTTCAATCCAGCTGAATCTACTGGGCTCAAACCAAAGACTACAAAATGAGTTGGCAATTGAAAAGATACATACGATAACATAAAATTTTCACCACTTGGAAAGGTCCGCAAAAAGTTACTAACTTGGAGAAAAAAGTGCGGATTACTATTTAAAAGCACTTTCCACACACAACCAGGCAACCCAGCATTGCATAAAGGAAAGTTATTGTCCTTTCTAACTCGCAGTACACACCCCAAATTGTCATAAGCTCAACCATCAAGCGCATGAACTAAGCGAGAAAGCTAACGTTTGCTATGTCGGAGTAGTATTAGTTTTTTCTGTGAATTTGGACCCAAGTAGCCAGCTTAAAGCCTTGCTCTAAGAATGTCAATGAAAAAAAAAGCTTTCACGGATCTATTCAATATTAAGAAACAGGGTAAACAATTATGCGACCAACTAAGAAGAGAGGCTTAAGGTTTTATTTTTCAAACGATCTAATTGTCACCTGCAGATGTGCACATGTCTTTTTAACAGTCGCTTCATATGCACAATGAACTAACTAGCCCTAACATAAATGCGTCTATATATATATGTGGACATAAAAAAGATATGAGGTATGGTTCAATAAACTGGACTTCCAATACTAGACGAATGATGAACAGATGAGTGTGCAACATTCAGCACATTTGTCACCCACCTTTGTGAATTTGATTAGTGTCCCCAGACTGCACAATGCCTCGGTAGCGGACGTGAAATTTTGCTAGATTAACCTCTCAAAGTTAATGTCTCAGATGCATTTTCCAGCTGCTCATTGTCAGGTGATAGGACATTTGATTCTCTTTTTTTGGGGGGGGGGGGGGAATTACAATTATATTCACTGAACAGTTCAGGGTCCAGCTGCGGAGAGCTAGACCGTCACTACACTAGCATGGGGGGCTCTAAGCACCCAATGCTTAACTCAAGCATGGCCTCAGAGATTTGGCGGCATGCTCTGTGTGCCACCGGATATGTGAGGCCATGCCTTAGCTCTACTGCTTACTGTAATGACAGGTTGGCACGCTGAAGGTTACACACGTCTGCTGTTTGTGTTATTGGGGAGGTGCTACATTACAAAAAAATACTTTTGAGTGACAACCTGCAAAGTAAAAGTGGGCAACCTCTCAAATTTACGCACCATCATTGTGGCCGCAGCGTCTTCTAGTTTCATTCCTGCGTCACCGTGCTGGCAGCTTCACTTGCCAAACAATGGCCGAGCATTTCAAGCTGAACACCACGTTCTCAAACTTTCAAAACACATTTCATGGCACACAGCGCCGTGTTGAATTTGCATGTGGCCCAACAACGAATAAGTTGTATTTCTCGTGCCATCGACAAAAGACAGAAAATAAATTTTTTAAAATCTTCACACCACAGGAGGTGGCAGGTTGGGTGCTGCGTTCCTGGCACCGGGCGGTAGAGGATCGGGATGAAGAGGATCGTGCGGTGGCTCTTCAGCATCGTCAGCAGCGTCATCACTGTCGTCTGACGACTGCGGCGGGTCTAGGGCCGTGTGCACGGTCAGCTGGACATTGCGGTTGAGACTGAACGCCGGGTACAGTGCAGCGCTCGGTCCCTGCACCGGCGCTCCCAGGGCGATGGGCGGTCCCTGCCGTTCGTCGTTGACGTAGAAGCACAGCTGACGCCTGTCCAAGTCGAGCAGTATTCCGATGACTGAACCCCTCTCAACGCCACCATCCACTCGGTGTTCGTGCCGGTCGGCGTGGAGGAACCAAGACCGCTGGTGATCTATATACATGCTCCATCCCTTGTCGTCCTTGCCTGCGAGCGGTTATAGAGAACATGACACTGACTAAATGATAGCAGCATCTGTAAAGTGAGACTACATCCTCAACATTTAGACCAAGGTATCTAGGGTTCCTTTATAAAGAATACTTATGTAAGACACAATTGGGTATAAGAGACACCAGGTGGCCTACATTGAAATAGAGGCCGAACAGATAATGTTTTGTTATACCTTTCTTATAAGACACCCCTTGTATAAGTGACAAGAACTGCTCAGTAGTGGGTGTCTTTTATAAAGGGGCTCAACTAATACCCATATAGATTGTGTTATTCAGACTCCCCTCAATTTTGGTTGATGCTATGAAGTTTTTGAAAACATTTTGATAATATATTGATACAGTAGGCTTCTCAATAGTTCAAACTCGAGGGGACCCAAGAATTTTTTTCAGACTAATCAGAACCTTTCATGAACAAGACTCGGGTAAACATACCAACTAGCACTGTGACCAAGGGCACAGCCAGGGGGTGGCACATCGGGCCCATGCCCCCCCTCTCCCCCCGAAATTTTCGTCACCGTGGTTTAGAGAGTGGAAATGACAATTTTAAGGGGGTGCCCTCCTCCCCGAAATGATATAGGTGCTCCCCCCCCCCCAAACAAAATTTCTGGGTACAGCTTTGGCTGTGACAATTACTATTCCACAAGGCCGCGGCAACACCATAGACAGCTCTGCCTTATTTATGCAGAGCTGTCTGCGTGAATCATGCAGACAACTTAGCGCCCAACGGGCGCGAAGGGCGCGCGAGTTGGGCGCGCTCTAAAGATTGTCGCCCCATGCGTGACACTGCTCACGGCACGCGCGGTTATCTGCTGATTCGGGCGCTATGTACATTGTCAATTTTCATGAAAGGAAACATGGGAACGCGTGGCCTGCGCGCTCCGGCGGCTGCTGGCAGCGTGTTCAAGCTGGAGCAGAAGAAGCCAGTCTCTTTTCGCGTCATTTCGCGACGAGGAAAACAACCAGTCGTTACCGATTTGAAACCAGCGGCAAGACTGCGGCCCCCTCCCCCTTCAAGGCGATCACAAGAGGGCAGTTAATCGGCTTCAGGGGAGAGGGATCGCAATCTTTCCGTTCTATTTCAGCAACGAACGGTTGTTTCACTCGCCGCGAGATGACGCGAAAACAGACTGTGGTTGCTCTCGCTCCCGCTTGAGCGCGCTGCCAGCAGCCGCCGAATAGAGTTACTGTACATGCTACCTAAAGGTAGCATGTACAGTAACACTGCCGCCGGAGCACGCAGGCCACGCGTTCCCGTGTTCCCTTTCATAAATATTGGCACTGTACGTCACGCGCAAGTTCGCTTAGAAGTTGCCTCGCTTGAAAAGCGCACAAAGGTCACTTCGCTCGCTGCCCCGGCCGCGTTTACAAAAGGAGCGCGCTGCTCACGCACGAAGCAAGGGGTCGAGCTGTGGCAGTTGTTGGTCCGCGCTCGTCCCGCGCATGCTCATTTCGTTCGTGCTTTCTGCTCGAGGTGCACGCCGCAAGTTTCGAGCTGCTTGCCGTTCATTGCGTGACAATACAGCTTGTTGCTGTAGCACTAATTATTTCGCCCTTGTGGCGCCACAAAGCACAATAAACGCTCAATGGCCTCTGTGAAGACACGTTTCACTTTCACGTTATATCGATTTCTCGACAGAGGGATCAGCCACATTTATTCCCCCTCCCCTCTCTCTCTCTTTAGCTTTCTTTCCTCTACGTGGATATTTCTATCCCCGACCTAACGAACAACCTCGACCTTAAACAGCTCTGCTGTTAGGAGGAATAAAGTGGACGTGCACTTACCCAACATGACGTCCCGGGCAGCGTCCGCGCGCGCCACTCCGACGACGACGTCGGCGTTGTTGTCGCACCGGTCCACGGTGACCTCCCAGTAGTGGACGCCCCGGGAGAAGCACAGCGAGCCCAGGACGACGCGGTGCTCGTAGCTCTCGCACCGGGCCGTCGCGTTCTCCTCCGAAAGCACGATGTCCGGATGGCACGCCACCGGGTCCAACGCGAACCACGCCACTGCGTTGCAAATTTTGGGGGAGGAAAGAAAAGAAACACGTCTCGCACAAAACCTCACGCTCGCAAGGCCATTCGTCACGCTATACGCATGCGAGGACGGTATGGTACTTCAAGGCTGAAAATATAAGCCACAGGCTACCGAGGCGAAGTTTGAGATTGGAATAGTTGGTACCCTCATCTTCAACAATCGGCCCAGAACGGGAAACAAGGGGCAAGCGCCTGTCTCTGTCACATGTCTTGTACTTTGTCCGTTCTGCGCTGATTGTTGTAGTTGGAGAAAGCAGCCTAATGGATTCTCTTCCGAACTGCAGTGCCCAGAGGTACCCCGTGACGAACACAAAAACGAAAAGCCGATCGCGTTTACTAGAAGTAAAATTTCCTGCTATCAGTGGTGCAGGTTTCTCATTTTTTCCGGGAAAAAGAGACGGTGGTGGAAGCTGACCTAACTGTGCATTCACAGTTAGGCCAGGTTTCACCACCAACAGTGACATCCATCTATAGTCATTGTTGTGATGAAAATTCTGACGCTTGTTTATTCCCAAGCTTCCATCCTAACAGTATACTAGTACATGTCCACAAAACGAAATTTGGCCAGTAATTTGGAATGGTGACGCTCAATGTGCGAAAGGGAGGGCGGGGACAGTATCCGAGAGAGAAATTACGTAATCGCCCTTTCTCGAAACAAGCACGAGTAGTCGGACTTGCCGGAAGCGCTGCTCCAAGCGTGAGGCAGAATACAGCTTCCCTTATTTTTTTTCTTCCCTCTCGAATCACTCTCCATTTCTCCGCTCCAAACGTCACTTTCATTTCTCTAACGCCGATTGCGAAGGAGATGGTCAACAGAGCGACCTCGCACCATGACGTCACCACCACACACTGATTTATTGATATGGGGGTTTAACGTCCCAAAACCACTATATGATTATGAGAGACGCCAGAGTGGAGGGCTCCGGAAATTTAGACCACCTGGGGTTCTTTAACGTGCACCCAAATCTGAGTACACGGGCCTACAACATTTCCGCCTCCATCAGAAATGCAGCCGCCGCAGCCGGGATTCGAACCCGCGCCCTGCGGGTACCACCACACACTGTGCAAGCAAGGCAGGCACACGCACCTTCAGCCGTATGCAGCACGATGACGTCGCTGTAGGGTCCCTCTCCGGTGGCGTTGTAGGCCTTGACTCGGGCCCTGTACGCGCTGTTGAAGTGCAGCCCGTCCACCGTGCACAGCGTCTCCTTGCCGCAGTACACCTCCTGCGAGGCCCAAACAGCGCGCGCCGTGTGCTTAGCTGCAAAACACTCCGAGGATATAGAATTTTACTGCGATAGCAATCATAAAGCCACTTCGGACGCATTTTCTTCCCGCTGCCGTCATGTTCTGGGTCGAGTTGTTATCGATAACATGCAGTGCGAATGAAACCACGCACGCGCTGCCGACGGACGCGGTTCAAGCATAGATGATGAAACGAGCCGGCCGTCTTTCGTTACTCGAAAGGCGCAACGGAGATAACATTAACAGGTAGGTGGGCCGCACCTCGGGCAGGAAGTGCGTACTGTCAACGACCGGGCGCGGCCGCTCGCGTATCTTTAAGAGAGATAAGCGGACGACCAATACGTACACGTGTTAAGTTCTTATCATAACGTTTGAGTTGAAGCCGCAGACAGCACGAAGGTTATACTTCACTCGCTGCGGCTGCCAGGGTTTCGTTAATGTCCCTAGATTTTTTTTCTCTCTCTCTCCTTTCTTAAGTGGAGACAACTATTGAAGCGCCACCTACGAATATCGTTGGGCAACGCTAGTTTTCGGAAGCCATGTTCCTTTTAGGGCCGTTCCACGCGCTTCCCGCACAGCCGCAACGCACGTGCCGGGACGCACGGAAGCGGGGGACAAATAAGCCAATAGGCGACGGTGCGGAGGGGGAAAAAGCGTCGCCAATGGGTGACCAGTAAAAGAGCGAGGAATTGTGGGATACACCGTCTGCTACCGGTTCGAGAAGAACAGACGACGGCAAACCGCTTCGCCGCAAGCCTCATATTATCCGGGATTCGCGCGTTTGGTCGCCCGTTTTATCTTCGTCCCGATAAACCATGGCCGGTTGTTCAGCCGTCGGCTGCTCCCCCTCGAGCTTGCAAGGCAAACGCAGGTATGAATTCTCATGTAACAAAGACGAAAGCGAGGTGGGCCGCGACTGTGAAGAGAGCCACAGCGACAGGTAGCCTTTGAGTACGGAAGTTTGAAGCCAGAGTGTGCGAAAACCTTTTTATCACGGGAACGTGTGTATTCCACACTAAAAAAAAAAAAGCTTACGCATGAATTTGCTGCGAATATTAATTTATATTGAGAAACTAATTGTCGCGCAGGCACGCCTAGCAAAGATATTATGGGAACGAGTGGGCGAAAGGAATTTGCTGTGAATATTATATTGAGAAACGAATTGTCGCGCAGGCGCGCCTAGCAACTATATTATGGAAATGAGAGGGCGTAATCTACCTGCCTTACGAGATTAGCGCCGGCCATTGCACCCGTATACATGACAAAAAACGCGAAAGCTTCGCTTAAGAGTAAGTTTACACGAAGCGCTGGACGAGTTCATTTGCGTTTATCTTGGTCAAACTGTGCGCCAGGACGGCACCCAAAGGAAAAAAGTGCGCTAAAAAAGCGCAGGACTTCGATTATTCGGCGCCGTCTATGTCTGACTGTATTGTTTCAGTGCCGCCGTGCCGTGCAGCATGACCGAGATCAGCGTTCAAATAAACATCTCGCTTCGCCTAAGAAACGCACGTATAGCGCACCGAAGGCTACAAAAAAAAAAAAAAATCTCAACGCGCTCAATAAGTGTTGCGCTTCATGCCAATCGACTGACGATGTCGGTCGGAGCAGCGATCCCGAAATGAACTCTTAGCACACTGCTACAGTCATTTCCATCCCCTGAGATTTTTAAAATGGTGACTTTTTATCTGCAGTACCGTATCATCAAGGAAAACTGTTTTATGTATCGACTGATCTGCTAGCCGAACTGACAGCACCCCCGAGCAGCATAGAAGTATTGCAGATCAATTTAGTGCGACAAAAAAAAAAGTTTCCGGACCGTTCATGGCTTTCGTAGCTTGTCATAGTCACGGTTGGCAAAAAAAAAAAAAAACTTCTAAAGCACTGACATTGCACGACCAGGTGCTTTTTTTTTTTCAACGGAGCAGTGCATAAATGTGCGCGTGCTGCTGCTGACCCGCGTGGTGCGTCGAACCGGAAGCCGTCGTATCCCACAGTTCCCTACAATTTCCCATTTTACCGGTCACCTATTGGCTTGTCCCCCGCTTGCGTGCGGTAGGTGTGCCGGCAAGTGCGTTGCGGCTGTGCGGAAAGCGCGTGGAACGGCGCGGGACCGCTCGCTTTGGAATGAGGGGGAGAAGACATGCGCGTCTTGTTCGCACACGGTCTTCTGGAAGGTGCACGGCCAACGCACTTAAACGCACACGGCTTTGTAAAACTTTCGAGTTAATTAGGCGAAGACGCCGAATGCGCGTCAAAGAGGGTCGGGTGAGGAGGCGGTTGTCGCTGTACTTAAAGATAGGTAAAAATCTAGGGAATTTAGGTACCATAAGAGACCGAGCTGCTAGCCTTGCGTATAACATTTCATTTTGTTGTCTTCCCACTTTTACCTCTGTGGCGATGCTGTGACATTGTGCCGCTCAATGCACCTGACGTCATCCGCGGGGGCATCGGGGTCGCCATTTTGGAGGTCCACGTGCTCGCTGCACGCGCTGTGTCCGAGACCCGTACGGCAACAGGGATGTCGGGAGAGAACATGTCCTGCACGCCGAAGCAAGGACAACAGGACGGCGCGCACGAACGGACCTTTAAAATGGCGTGGCGATGATGTTGCCCCCTTGCGGAGCACGGCACAGTGGATATCCCCCCATTGCACCAATGAAGCGAGTACACACGAATACATAGGAAAAGTACATGCACAAACGCCGTGTGCACGTGTTCACGAAGCCTTTACACGGCAAAAGCCTTAAGATTCCAGCAGTAAATGACCGTCGACGTCAACGCAAATAATAAACAAAATAATGTGATGACGTCACCATACGACGTCACGGGTGGCCAGAATTTGGTGACGTACGTATTCATGACGTCACCTCATGACATCTTTGCTTGTAGGTGTAAGCCATCCCTGCATACAACGTTTCCCACCAGGAACTGCAGGCTCAACCCACAGCCAATGCGTTTTCAAGACTTTGCGATGTGTCGGTGCCGACGTAGTTGGAAAAAAGATACGACTGAACGTTTGAAAGACTTTGAACGACCGAGACGAATAGTGAGCACATATGGTCTCTCAACTGTGCTGGTCCTTTAAGGAACACTAAAAAAAAATCTCTAGCGGGACAGCGCCATGATTTCATTACTGAAACTGAGGGTAGGAGTGGCAGCGCTGGGAGGTGGGGAGGTTATGCAATGTGCTTTGACAATGTTTGCGTTTTGGGGAGGGAAGAAAAGAAAAAGGGGGGGGGCAGTTGAAAATTTGGGGGAGGCCACCTCCGGCACCACATCAGGTTGCTTAGCGAACCCTGGCAGCGTTTGAAAGAACAAAGCAGTACGTGTGTTATGCGTGCGCACCCTGAGAGTGTGTTATTATCGTGTTCCTTCCTATCTCCCGTCTTATGAGCGACCCTACTCGCCCTAATGAACCAACAAGCCCAAGTGGAAACCATTCTGAATATAATAAAACTGGCAAAATCAGTCGCAACGTAAAAGGGTCTTCGAGTAGCAAAGATCAATAAAATGTGGGTGGTAATTTTTTTTCTTCTTCGTCTTAATGGGTTAACGAAAGAGCGCTGGGAATATCAAATTATCACGCAGGCGCGGTCCATTATCGGTCGATGAGGGGTTGCTACATCTGAAAGCTTCGAAAAGCTCCCGCTTAACGGTCGACTGGCGCGTCAATCAATTAAGGGCTCAATCGAAGACTTCACACAGCCACGCAACGCGAGGCCACCTACACATACAGCTCTGTGTCAAGTGACGTCGCATCGGAAAACGAACGTCATATCTTTGAATCGATGGCCCGAAAGAGTGGGTGAAACAAAGGCAGACAAAGGCTTATCAGCAGTTACAGCGGAGTTATATCAACCACCGGTTCGAAAGACCATGTCGCCAGAGCAAGCGAACGAATTCGCGCGTAATGAGTGTATCCGTGGCTTACGTTGAATACGCACCGCGCACAATCGAAACAAGAAAACAACAGCGGAAAAGAGACATAGGTCGGAGTGGCGGACCAGTCCACCTCTGTGGAAAAGTGGCTGGGGTGCTCGGCTGCTTTTCGAAGGTAGCGTGTTCGATCCCGGCAGCGGCAATCGCATTTTGATGGAGGCGAGATATAGAGGCCTGGGTATAATGTGCGACGTTAGTGCACGCTAAAGAACACCAGAAGGTAGAGATTTCCGGAGTCCTCCACTACGGCGTTCCTCGTAATCATATCGCGGTTTTGGGACGTAAAACGCCTTATATCATTATTGTTAGAGTGCGGACTAGCACCTTTAACTTCAGGGGGAGCCAGGAATCAAGCCAATACAAGTCACACGCATGGCAAGCGTTTCAGTGTACTCGGAATAAGGGTTGAAGTTCCCATATCGCTCAACCACAGCCTGTGAGTTTCGCCAAGACTGCGGCAAATGCATGACCGAGGGAGGGAGTTAGTTAGTTAGTTAGTTAGTTAGTTAGATAGGTAGATAGATATAAGACAAGACATTTAAGGTTTGGTCCTCGAACCCTATATAGTGTAATAATTGCACGGATCAAGCTCTGCACACTGTGTATAGCTTGGAGGAGGAGGACTACTCCGTGACAGCGTGGTGTATAGCTTGAAATATACAAATCTCGAACAAGGTTCTCAGAAGACAGGAGGCCCGAAGAAGCGAGGAGGCAGTCCTGGCGAACATGGATGCATACCTTTGATTCCTTTACCAGAGTATATAGGATGTGTGTGCGCGTACGCGAAATGCATATACGTAACACATCCTGGAAAAGGGGAAGGGGAAAACCTTCGGAACTATACTCTTCCTCCCTACGTCTCCTCTCGTTGCTAGCCTTGGGTGTGCCAACGATGGCGAACGCAAAAACTTAAGACACGCGACACACATGGTCCTTCAAAAGAACCCGTACTCCACTGTCTAGCGGCAAGCCTACACGTGCAAAGACGCGGTGGAGTGGGAAGATACAACGAAAGAATGAAATAGAGGGAAAGAAACAAAAAGGAAAGAAGGAAAGAAATAATTGAATGAACTTGGCACAGCCAGTGGGAGTTACATACGCAGCACGTCTTCAGCGGAGCGCGTTGTATACATGCGGCGCTGAAGTGCATCGACTTGGACAGGCGCAGCGGGCGCGCCTCGCTGCCTTCAAGCCAACTGTCGGGGCGAATCAGCCGGGTCCAGCTACGATATCCCTCCCGTGTCCCCTACACGCCTCGACAACTTCCCCCGTCTTCCCGCCCGCGCGACGATGGAAGCAGTGACAGCGCCCTCCGATGGGGTCCGGCCTGCACTGTCACCAGCACAGCGCGTTCATTTCGAACGTACAACACGCGAGGCGCCGTATGCGGCAGCGGCTGGCGCTGTCACGCGCTCCGACATAGAGAGATAGCGAGAGAGGGAACAGTTTTAATATGTTCGGCGCGTTTCTCGGTGCGAAATTCGGCGCGTGGGGCGCGTTACGACGATTCTGTTTCAAGATACAGTGTCGACGTATACGGTACGCGTGCGCAGAATCGTGTTGCGAAACACTCCTTGGCAGCGCGTATGACCAATCTGCTTAACCTACGTGTGATGCGATACAGAACAGGCCGTTCGCTTTACTATACAAACAGCCAAACCAACGCCTATTGGCCAAACATCTCTCCACCGCCCTACCATGGTGAAGAAACATTACAATAATAAAAAAAAAAAACATCGCTGATCTCTCGCTTTAGGAATCGGTATAACGCGAAAGTGAGAGGTGCCTTCACCGAGGTAGTCAAGCGTTTATTTTGGCATTGTTTGACCACAAGGGCGAAGGGATTAATGCCCTACAGCAACAAATAGCAATTTCATGCGAAGAGCGGCAAGCAGCTTGACACTTAGCACGCTGCTCAAACAGAAAGAAAGACGCACGAAACGAACGCACAAGTATACACAGGATGATCTCCAACAACCGTCACAATTTCTACTCCCTCGCATGTGGGCAGGGTGCTCCATTTGTAAACGCGGCCGCGGCTGCGAGTGTAATGACCTTGGTGTTCTCCCGATTCACGAGTCTGATAAGCGCGCGCACAGGAGAGACCACGCCCCGTGGAGGCAGCGCTTTCCGAAACGCGAGAGGCGCCCAACCTAAAGGGACTATATACCAACCAACGCTCGTAGGGTCGGGCAACGGACGACGCAAACGCGGTGAAGTTAAAGGCGCTTTGAGGACTGCCAACGGTATGCGGTGTATATAAATGACTTGCCGTTAAAAAGCTTGACAACGTACGTTTCGTTGCTTAGTGGCTTGTGTGGTGCGCTGCAAAGCGAGAGGTCGCTGGTTCGACGCCTCGCTAGGAACTTACTTGACTACGCCATATCTGTGACGGAAGTAGATCAGCGGAGCCTTGGTGGACCCCGGCATAAAACGCATTCGTGCAAAAAAAAAAAACGGTGTCCTTCGCGCATCCGCCTAAGACGACTTGGCGGCGAAAGCCATCTCCTTTCCTTCTTCACTCGACATATTGCAGGCACTCCAGGATCGGAGGCAGTGCAAGCTTTCTGTATATCTCCGCTGGTAATGGATTGCCTCGGTGATCAGCCCATCTTTGGCCAAGCGACGTAAAATATCATGCGATGGTGTTATCCGTGATGATATCTGACGTCATAGCGATGCAAAGAACGGGTGACGGTGACGTCACAAATTCTCGCAATTCCTGACGTCATATCGTGGCACCATCAAGGGATGATTATTTCTCGCGTCACTTTAAGTGTTGAAACGCCGACAATCAGTTTGCGCGTTTTATTTGGCAGGCATCCGAGATCTGGCTTGAATTTTTTCGGGAAATTACGGGCCAGAACGACGATATTATTTTGGGGCACGCCGTACTGAATGGGCTCCCAATCAATTTCGACCACCCATGATTTTGTTAACGTGCAGCTAAACTTCAGTAGGCAGGTGTGTTAGCTGAAATTCGCCCCCATCAAATTTAAGTGCGGCAGCCGAGACCGGAAATCGAACCCGCCACCTCGAGAGCTTTGCAGCACTATACACTCGAGCCCGCTGATACGCCGAACACTGGAATGCACTCTTGCATTAAGGGGTGTTGCCAGATATTTCTTTCAGGGAGGAAGGGGGGTGGGGAGAGCGTGTGTGTATCACACCTGGTTTGCGCATGCATACACGCATGTACGTGTGCAAAATTTTGCATGTGTGTACGTGCATGTACACAAAATTGGTAATCTTGCTTGTGTACGGTCCCTTCGTGCTACGCTACGCCAATGCACGCAATGTCCACAGCAGTACCACCCCAGCGCGCACGTCGGAGACGCCGACGGAGACGTGACGCGAGCGGCGGCCGCGAGACAAAGTACGTCCACAGCCTTCCAACGCCGCGGAACAGCAGAGCTCACGGCACGTGCATTCTCCGCAGGAAAAAAAAAAACAAAAAAAGAAAAAGTGGGGGGGGGGGGTGAGGGGGAAGGCGCAAGAACATCGCGTCCTCGTCCATCTTATCGCACGAGGCCTCATTCGATTACGCCGTCTCGCGCGCCGGTGGAAGAAGGCGAGAGTCGGCGGGCCTCCTCCGCAAAAGGGGTACACGGCCGGAACGATGCGAGCAGCCAGAAAACCCAATAAGGCTAATGCGGTGCGCCGCCGGGAGGGTCCATCCATCCCACCTGACCGATCCCGCACGCTGCTGGAAAGGGGAGCCGCGCAATGAGCGCGTCATGCGAAACTATAGTGGACGCTGCGGCATGACGCCCGCCGCTTCACCTTCAACCGAGCACGCAAGAAGACACCACCGGTTCAGAGGACGCGTTGCACGTAGCACATCTAGCAGGAAGAGTTTATACAGCGCACGGGCTCCACCAATAACAGGTTGTTGGAGTATCGCGTCTCAAAACCCCGACATGACTTCGAGGAACGCAGGTGGAGAGGCTAGGGGAATTTAGAGCGGCTGGGGATTCTTTAGGCGTGCGCTTAAGTCGAAATACACGAGCGTCTACTAGCACTTGGCTTCCGTCTAAATGCAGCCGTCAGGATTCGATCCTGCAACCTTTGCTCAGAAGGCGAGCACCATTACATTACTACAGCGGACCGGCTTTTTTTTTCTTTTTCTTTTTTCGATTAAGCATCCAACCACGTATATAGGCTAAAAGCCCGCGTATTGTTGAGGCTGCCCGCACTAACGATAGTTATATAGCGCGAGAACAGAAAAAGGACGACGCAGAGACAAGAAGGACACGAAGGACACGAGCGCTCGTGTCCTTGTCTCGGCGTCGTCGTTCTGTTCTCGCGCTATAACTATCGTCATGTCATACCAATTAGCCCTAAGCTGCCACACTGCCCACTCTAGTTTCACGGGTGGGTCTTATCTGGGCATTCAATTGAACAGTTCCGTCTATAAAGATCCCGAATGTTGTAACCCGAGACGAAACGCTGGTTATTACAAAGATGTAGTGGGATATATTTTCGTCTACATTTCACTGGTATTAAAGGGGCCCTGTAACACCTTTTCAAGTAACCATAAGATGAATTCACTGGAAGAGCTTATTGCCTTACGAATTCAACGCCGCAAAAGTTTTAGGAATACATCCAGTGCGAGTGGAGTTAGACAGATTTGTCGCATGCTGCAATTGCATTCTCTCTTCCCGACGAAAGCGCTGGAAGCTAAGCAGGGAGGGATGGCAGGGGCATACAAACTACGTCACCTGCGCCTGCCTCGTGACCTTGAGTACTTTTTTTTTTTTCGGATGCGCGGCTTCTTCAGTGTGATCGCGTGCGCACGCGCGGACAAGTCGCGGACCTCCCGAGGCGATCTGTGTAACGACCAAGCGCGCCATGTCCAAATGAGCCAATGGCTGATAGATGGGCTTGCTACGTGCGGTTTTTGAGTGTCTTCTGTCTTTGTCTAGAGAAGAGAAAGCAATTTCTAGCCGACTTTGATTATTTGTGAATTCCAGGCCGCGTGCTGCGGTATGACATTTGGATCGCGAGCTGTCGGGAGCCTGAACTACTTAGCGGCAGCGTTTCCTGAGCACGCTCAAAAATTGTTGCAGGGCCCCTTTAAGCATGTGCCGTGTGTTTACTGTGCGGTTCCGAGTGCGCAACTCGTAAAATGTGAGACCCGCGGGACGGCTCTATGCTCTGCCATATATAGTCGAGTACCAAGTGCTCTGAATCGTTAACCACTCGTTCTAAACACAATCGCACGTCCACGCCCCTGCAATACAAAGCGAAAAGAACACGCAACTCACCCTGAACGGTCCGGCATTCCCGTCGTCCAGTTCGAGCACGTAGCCCTGGACGAAGCTCCCGGCGTGCGGCTGCCAGGCCACCGTGACGCAGTTGTTCTCCGCCGTCGAGTCTTCCGGTATCAGCTGGGGAGCGCCGGGAGCTGAAGAAGCGATACAAAAAAAAAAAAAAAAGTCACGGTTTCGCTGCAACGGCGAAGCGAGGAAAAAAAACAAAAAAAAAAAAAACGAGCGTGCTTAAATGTGGAACAGCACGTGCTGCTGCTGCATGACAGTTTTAGTCCCTTTACAAACTCAGTACACTTTTTCCGCATGACGCCAGTGTATTGCGGCATAGGAGGCATTGATCAGACACACGTCTGGCTGGCTATCATGCGTTAGAGGAATGGTAATGAGGAAAGGAAAGACGAGAATGGACGGAAAGTAAAGAAGAAACTGGGAATTCGGTCAGTAAATGCGCCGACGCGTAGAAGAGATCTTCAAATGCGTCAGCATCAAATGCGGTAGCAACAAGTTAAAATGTTATACTAATGCTATAGTAGCTAACTCCTTTAGAATCCGGTTTGGCTGAACTCTACAAACGCTGGATACGGCAGCTCCGGTGGGCTAAGAAGCCTTTCGGGCTGTCCATCTCTTGAACGCGAAATAAGCGGCGCGAGCACAGCACGCACAAGGGTATAAGCCGTTTACCGATCCCCACAGAGATACTGATCCCCGTTTGAGCATCATCACCGCGTTATCATCTTCATCATGCTCATTTCACATAATTTTTTTCATGCTACTTGTTTCTTTATGTTCACTCCTCATCTGGTCAAGGGACCTGTGCGACTACTTACTACTACTGCTACTATACCTACTACTACTGCTATTCTCCTCTTCCTCTAACAGCCACAGCTACTACAACTATTACTTACTACTGCCGCTATTGGTCCTCCTACTACTATAGCTACTACTACTACTACTACTACTACTACTATAGCTACTACTACTACTACGACGACGACAACGATGACACAGGGTAGATTAAGTCACCTTCGCCGTAAAAAAAAAAAAAAAAAACAAGCGCTTCTAAACCCCGACCGGGGTTTGCAAGGTCTGTGCATAACGTCACAATTCGCACGACATATCCGAGCGTATACGAATTGCGTCCCCACTCGGCAAACACCTTAATGGCGCGGTCGATTCACCGTGCACGCGCACACACAGACAGGCGCGGCGCTCAAACGGCACCCCGCTGGAGTCATATGCAGCCGCCGTTAGCTACCTGCTCTGTATACCTACGCACGCCCGCTGACGACTCGTTCGCTGTCGGTAAAGAGGCGACCTGCTGGCGTTGCGCCTTTAAAATTGACCGCGCCTGTTTGATATGCAGCATGCGCGGGCCTTTGTAGGAGCACACTTCCGACCCACCCAAGCAGCCTCTTGCAAGCGACCCACCACCGGTGCTCGTCGGAACCCCACATGGGGAGAGAGAGAGAGAGAGAGAGAGAGAGAGAGAGAGAGAGGCCACAGAGGGTGCTGACTCATGCGTTCCTGCGCGGTCCCTCGGTTCCTTTCCTGCACAGCTCATCGTCACGGAAGGTTCAATGCAAATACTCTAACACCGGGCGGGAAATCTGGCTTCTGTGGCTGCTAGAATCCAAGAACGAGAGGAACGTTGCACACGCGTCCTTGTGGCGCGGCCTATTATAATAGAGAGTTTTAGTACTGCGGAATGGTGCTACGTACGCATCACGCAAGCGCCTTGCGTTACGTGGCGTCGTTTGCCACTAATCGGCTTTTAGTACGCCGTAGTACCCGCGTACGTAACGAGCGTGAAGCGGGTTGCGCCATCTGGTAGATCAAAATAGAAGCACGTGTTGTTGACAGCCGATGTGAGCCAATCCAAGTGTTATAGCCAGATTATGGCCATATTTTAAGCCACAGAGCCGGTCGGTGCTTGCCTTCGATGCCGCCATTTTGCAAAACGAAGTCTCGCGCTGTCGCGAACTTGTTCGAGAGCGGCGCGATCACCTCATACGTACGCACGCACGCATCTGATGCGTGCGTACGTAGCGGCTGCGTACGTAATGCGATACGTGCGCGTTGCGGTCTGCGCATGCGCACTACGCAGAACGTGGCGTCCTTACGTACGCAACACCGCCACGTACGCAGCGTACGCAGTACTAAAACTCTCTAATAACTTAGCGGCCCTTTTACCCGCGTAACGTCCGGCGTATACCTTGTGGTAAATGAATGTCATTCCGATCTTGGCAACCATTTGTGATCGCAAGTTCACCGTAATAACTTCACGCTTTTTAGCGACAAAATAGACTGCTCGTGTGTCAGCGGATGTAAAAAAAAAAAATAAATTAGAAATCCTTCCCTTTCGGGGAAAGAGAGGCGCCAGCTAAGCTAGCGTGCTCGCACATGACTTTTCTATGTTTCATTATCTGTCTCTCTCTTTGTACATTTCTCTCTCTCATTCACTTGCCCTTACTTTCTTCATAATTTCTCTCTCCCTTTTCCTCAGTATCTCTACGCTGTGGTTAACCCTCTCCACTCCTACTTCCCCACTTTTTCACCCTTGCCCTCGCTTTCTATTCCCGCCCACTGCTACATTAACTACCCCACGAGGCTATGTTTTCTACGCTCTGCTAGCGCGCCTGGAATAGATAGCAGAGTGGTTAATCATGCTCACCTTGGGATCATGGGTACGCGGGTTCGAATCTTGTTTCCATTTTTTTTCCACCCGCCAACAGTTCTCGTTTCTTTTCTCTCTCTCTCTCTCTCTCTCTCTCTCTCTCTCTCTCTCTCTCTCTCTCTCTCTCTCTCTCTCTCTCTCTCTCTCTCTCTCTCTCTCTCTCTCTCTCTCTCTCTCTCTCGCTCTCTCTCTCTCTGTGTGTGTGTGTGTGTGTGTGTGTGTGTGTGTGTGTGTGTGTGTGTGCGTGTGTGTGTGTGTGTGTGTGTTCTCGTTCGTTCCCAATACATCAGAGTTCTTGCACCGCGCGCCGACGAAATCGGCGCACTTGTTCCGGGGGCGACGCTGAAAATGAAGACGACGACGAGGAAAGATGCGCGTGTTCCAGTCTCCTAATGATGACGACGACAACTTCTGTTCACGCGACACGACCAACCGGGCGAGCTCAAACATCTACGCCGCCAAAACAAATGCCGAACCGATGCGGCAGGGTATGTGGTGGCATCGCTCTCGACGCATAATTACCACTCCAGCCGTTCTTCTTCTCGAACCTCCTCGACTTCGACTCGACTCGCCAGAAAGTTTGAAGCCGCTCGCGCGCGTCTCTGTCGGCGGCGGTCTTGGCCACGCAGGGCGCGTTCCGAGATGCGAGTCGGCCCCGGGGTTGCGTAACATCGGCAAACTATAGATGCATGCACGCACTCGAACGTAGAGGCAAAAGCAGGCTGCCGACTAATGCACATTCCTTTCTTTTCTTTCCTTCCTCCTCCTCCTCGCGTCCCCGTGCATCTCGTATGCGAGCCATACTGTATTCGAAGCTCGAGCACATTCATTTCTGAACTACTTATTTCTCTTTAGATCACATATAATTCCGACATGTCGGCTATGTAGACCGTTCGATCTTACAGCGTACTGGTTCGTTTGGATACTTCTATTTTTTTTTCCTAAAGGCAATGTTCGCTATCGGATTTACCGCGATCATGGCGGTAATAGGTGACAAAGTTAAACTTGTCTCGAGTAAAAGCCTTCGTTGATCGGCTGCCGCACTCGATTCGGATGCAGCTGCTATAGCTAATGCGGGGAGGCTATCATTGGCCAATGATGGCTGCATACAGTGTTGGCTACGTGCAGTACTGGCAGTGACATTGCGTGGCAACTCAAACCTACTATTGAACTCTCCACCAATCAAAGTTCTTCTTCTTCTTCTTCTTCTTCTTCTTCTTATTATTATTATTATTATTATTATTATTATTATACCATTGTTCAGTGAACTACAGCTTAATTTAGTATCCTCCTACATCGACGTGGCCATAGATAAACACACCTTATTAAATGTACTGTCACGGACTCAGGCATGCTAGTATGAAAAAAAAAAGTTATTATGCAAAGTGCGTACGGTGAGTTACGAAATCCCTTTTGGCAATTATATTGTTGCTATTCGCGTACGCGTTTTGAGACTAATCTTTACTCTGTTTCTTGTTTTTAGCATGCTATTGAAGTTGCTACTGCTGACTGTTGCTACTGCTGTTTCCTACAAATCTAGCAGTGGGCCCTTTCTCAGACTGCTTCTACACGAAGAGCAACTTTCACCTACAGCCTGTACTTCATCAATGCAACGATGAAGAGAACCATTACTAGCATTACTAAGTAGACAGTATACATTAATATGACTTGAACGAAACCCGTAAGCTTCGGATGGTCCGGCACTATGCGAAAAGGGCGTTCTTCGGACTCGTACGAAAACTTAACCAGACGTAGTTACACCTGTAGCGCTCAAAACAAGAGGAGCCATCACCTTAATGGGACTCCTTATTCGAGTTTTGACGACACGGTCCGATGATTAGGCGGTCGGCGAACTCGGAGTGCCGACTAGAAGACACGCACGGTGGCAGTGCGAAAAGAAAACCACCGCACGCCACACGTTCGTAGCTGCTGTTATTTTTTCTTATTCACTGAAACGGCTGCTGCGCAGCAGTCCCCGTGGTAAAGAAGACGCTCAATCGAGGGGGGCTGTCCTCACCGCCAACTCTCGAGCCAGCGGTCGGTCTGGAAGGTGCGAACGGCGGGCAAGAAGAAAAGCGCGAACATCCCCTCCCCCCTCCCCACACGTCTCGATAGTTCATGCAGCGGTTCGTTTGGCGGCGCTCCTCGCGTTTAAGATTCGTTCGGCGTCTGGAGCGCGGCGGCGCTGTCTCCCTTTCCGAACCGCGCGCCGAGTAGAACCCTCCTTCCCCCTTCCCACTTGCCCACTTCCACATCCCACCTTCGCATCACCGACACCCAATCTGCATTCACAAATGGGCGGCAAAGGAAGAACAGGTGCGATCCTTGGTCACGTGGGACGACGGAAACGTGGGGAGGTGGGGGCACGTCCAGACGGTTCCCGGTCTTTCTAGTTTGTTTTCTTTTCTTAAGGAGAGGCGGCCGACGAACCGCGCCTGCTTCCCCCAAATTGGCGGAAGTGAGCGAAGGGTTCGACAGATGCGAGCCGGCGGGAATCGCGGGCGATGCGCCGAGAGCCGAAAAGAAAACATAGCGTACTCCGCCCCTATAACGGCCGCGGACCGACTCCACGGCCTTTATACCGACCCGTTAACCGACCCCGCTCCTATAACGGAGTAAAACCTATAACGGTTCCGCGGAACCGATCTCGCGATCACGTGCAGTTGTTTAAACGCTGTTCATCGCGACGCAAGCTCCGTCTTCGTGTCCTTTTCGTTTCGAAGCTTGACATATCTCCCACAATCACGATGGCGGCGCTGTACGCGAGAAAGCCGGCACCGGCGAGCGCACAGAAATGCGGGGGAGGAGGTTAATGTTTCGAATAAGTGGGGGGGGGGGGGGGTTAGAAAAAGTAGGTAACGATTTAGAGTACCAGGTGCTCTACTATGGGAGAGCTCAATGCCGTCCCCGACATGACATGCATGTCATGATGTGTGTTTGGAAAAAGTTGTTAACGATTTAGAGTACCAGGTACTCTACTATGGGAGAGCAAAAAGATGATGTGTTTAGAAGAAGTGGTTAACGATTTAGAGTACGTGGTACTCTACTATGGGAGAGCACTGAGCCGTCCCTGGATGATGAGGGGGGGGGGGTAGAGAAAGTGGGTAACGATTTAGAGTATAGGATACTCTACTATGGGAGAGCTCAAAGCTGTCCCGGGAAGCATAAAGACGGAGCGTTTCCCACGCACGCCAATCATAAAGGGACCAGAAGAGAGTTAAGAGAAATATAAGAGAGAAGATAAAGAAGGCGGCAACTCCTGGAAATGCGGCCTTCGAGGTAGCGCGGGTCACACGCGAACGTTGTAAGCGCCGTTTACAACAAATCGACGCTCTCTAGAAAGTGCGCTCGCCGGCGATCGGTCGTGCGCTCACACGGCAATCTGACCTTTAATTGTAGTCACTTGCCATTTCACGTCGCCACAATTCGTCGTTGCCCGAACACGAGGAAATCTACCCCAAGTTCCGACGCCAGAAGGTGAGTCGCCACAGGAACGATGTCAACTGCACATATAGGCGCGCCCTCACGCCGTGCACATACGCAAATAAAGCCGTTTCGCTTCCGACGGGTATATATAGACCATATTCCGTGTTTGCAAACAGGGGCAGGCGCCGTCGACACACTAAAGAGTTTTAATACTGCGTACGCTGCGTACGTGGCGGCGTTGCGTACGTAAGGACGCCACGTTCTGCGTAGTGCGCATGCGCAGACCGCAACGCGCACGTATCGCGTTACGTACGCAGCCGCTACGTACGCACGCATGAGATGCGTGCGTGCGTACGTACGAGCTGATCGCGCCGCTCTCGAACAAGTTCGCGACAGCGCGAGACTTCGTCTTGCAAAATGGCGGCATCGAAGGCAAGCACCGACCGGCTCTGTGGCTTAAGATATGGCCATAATCTGGCTATAACACTTGGATTGGCTCACATTGGCTATCAACAACACGTGCTTCTATTTTGATCTACCAGATGGCGCAACACGCTTCACGCTCGTTACGTACGCGGGTACTACGGCGTACTAAAAGCCGATTAGTGGCAAAGGACGCCACGTAACGCAAGGCGCTTGCGTGATGCGTACGTAGCACCATTCCGCAGTTTTAAAACTCTCTACTGAGACGCTTCGTTCGCGGAAGGCTCGATCCCCGACGCGCATTGCTCGGACGAAGCTTTGCAGCTGCTGTGCCCGTTGTTACGTGATCACAGAGGGCAGGGGGGCGAGCTTTGGGCTGGGCGGAGCCGGAACGCCGCGACGTCGCAAAAAGCGCCTCCGTAAGTCGACAGCGGCAACCAATTTTTTTACTAAACATGGAATACGCCTATAGAAATACAAAGCCAACGACGGGAACAAGGAAACAAAAGTGAAATAAATAAAAGTGTAGTATACGACGGGCACGCGTACACGCCGTGTTTCGTTAGCCCCATTTTCCCGATACGACAGCGTCCCCCGAGTTCATTATCTTGTCTTTCGTTTATTGTCTCTTGCCGACACAATCCGGCGCACACGCTAAAGTCTATTCAGGGATTGGGGAAGCGTGTATACGGGACACTGTAGAGAGCGACGGAACACGATCGAGGCACGCGATTGTGCACAGCACACACTAACTATGAACGTCGCTCGCGATAAAAAAAAAACGTGCATGTTACCTGCAGACTCGTCTCCGTCAGCTGCGTGTAGGAGAGAAAGAGAGATACGGATGAGAGGAAGAGGCACATGGGCAGAGAGCGACGGCGCGAGTAGGTTGCGGCAACACACACACACACACACACACACACACACACACACACACCACACACACACACACACACACACACACACACACACACACACACACACACACACACACACAAATACCCACGTACGTTCGAGCCACCTTCCTTGCATTACCTCGAAACAGCGCCGTCGTATAAGGCCGACATGCACTCCAAAATTCCGCGTTTAGAACGCAACCCAACGACCGCTTCGAGCTTTCTGTTTCTGAAGTGCCTACATAGGTAGCATTTACGGAATCCGGCGTGTCCATCCGTAGGTATCATGCGGCGTGGTCACGCTCACAATCAAGCGCTCAATGTGGACTAAAAAAATGGCTAGCAATGCTCAAAACCAGGTAGAAATTAACAAACGAGGCCTGAAATAATATAATTAACAGTCATAACCAAGGACGTAATCGCGACAATTGACCTAAAGTCGCTAAAGACGCTCCGGACACACGCGCGTCACTCCTGCTCCAGGCAAGAGAGGGAGCGCGACCGCCTCGCAAGGAGCGCGATTGGCTCCTCTTACCTGTGCATCGCTGGCGATTGGTCGCTACATCAGGAGGCGGGGTAAACAGCGTGACGTAAACTCGCTGCAGACGACCCGTGTCTCGACTGCCTTGACAAGTGGCGGGAAGTCGATAAAACGCGACAAGAAGTAGCGCACGTGCGCTGCAAAACCGATTTTGAGAATCTAGCAAAATCCTGCACACTCGTGTCGGGAAAATCCTATAGACGCTTACCTCAAACAGTGACGTCATCGACGGTTCGGTAAAGCAAGCAGTGGAAACTCTACGAACGGGAACCGATGGGTGACCGTGCCGCGCACTTACTCATGTTTCATGGTGTAGAGGAGCTGCATTTATTTTTTTTTTGCGTAGGATATGGCCAAGAAGATACGGTATACTCGAAGCAGGTTACCGGAGTCTGCAACGCCTGCTACATACAGTTTCCGAATATACCCTAGAGGGAACTCTGGCGCTACTGTCTGTGGGAACTGCAACGCATGACGCTTCAACGAGCATGGGAATGATGGGTAGTACACGGATTTGTCTAGTTTTCGTACTTCTGGCGTGCTTCTGGCTCCGTGTGTGTTCGTGCCGCTTGGAGCTGTTTTCTCACAAAACAAAACATGAGCAAATGTTCAGCAGTTGCGCTTCACCACCATATTCTTTTAGGCTTACCTTTTCAAATCGGATCACGAAGTTTAAAAGGGTTCGTTTTTTCCTTCGCAACAAAACCTAAACACGGCAATAAACGAAGCCACAAGTATGATGTGCCACCCGCAAGTGCGAATATTAGGCAAATTCGTGTACTACCCAACATTCCCATGGTCGCTGAACAATCGCAGCGCCAGAGTCCCTTCTGGTTAACTTTAGGAAACTATGTATGGCCTGCTACACGCGAATTCTTTTGCGTTTGCTATTGTTCCTTTCTAGTTTTTCTCTTCCGTTTTTTTTTTCTTTTTGAAAGTTAAGCCCACACGGGAGATACAGCGTGACCCTGTACTAATAAGTCGTCTGTGCACACGCGTAAGTATAAATAGAGCTCGTGCCCACTGCCTCCGTGAGCAAAAGAGACAGACAGACAGACAGACAGACAGACAGACAGACAGACATAGATAGATAGATAGATAGATAGATAGATAAATAGATCGACAAACAGACAGACAGACAGATAAATAGACAGACAGACAGACAGATAGATAGATAGATAGATATAGATAGATCGACAGACAGACAGACAGATAAATAGACAGACAGACAGACAGACAGACAGACAGACAGACAGACAGATAGATAGATAGATAGATAGATAGATAGATAGATAGATGACATCGCACAGCACACGGGTCCCTACCATTCCGCCCCCATCGAAATGCGACCGCCGCTGCCGGCATCGAACCCGCGACCATCGGCATAGCAACCAAGCACCGTAACTACACGGCGGCGGAAAGGGTGATCTATGAATTAGGCAGAGTGTTTTTAAGAATGTGTGTTTTTCTTCATTTAAAATAGGTGGACGGGGGTGTCAAAAAACATCTATTATAAGAAGGCTATAAGGCTATGACTGTGCGCACCTACAATCCTCTCACGCTTCCTTTACAAGGCCGAAACACTTTTGGAGCTGTTAAGGCTACATACTTATGAAGGGCTAATTAACAAAATAAAAACTTGTTAACAGCTTTGCTGTTGGCAACTGAAGCCATTAACCATTTAGACAATAAAAAGAAGAAGAAGAAGAAGAAGAAAAAAAGACGTCTTGTATACTTGAGAAGCTTCAAATGCCAAGTCAAGTTCAGTTCAGTCACTCGTGTGTTCACGCTGTTTAGTGACGCTTCTAAAGGGACTCGCCGGTGTTCAGGTGCATTGTAGTTGAAAAGACTGTCGTCGCTTAGTATGCGCTGCCCTCCGAAAGTCCACCGCCGAGACTATACGACGTCGACCTTAGTACTCGGCCCCGCCGCGGTGGTCTAGTGGCTAAGGTACTCGGCTGCTGTCCCGCAGGTCGCGGGATCGAATCACGCCCGTGTGCTCAGATTTGGGTGCACGTTAACGAACCCCAGGAGGTCATAATTTCCGGAGCCCTCCACTGTATACGCGTAGTTTCCCACAATCATGTGGTGGTTTTGGGACGTTAAACACCACATATCCATCAAAAGGCTTAGTACACGCGCGCGCATCCCAAAACGGTGGCGTTTTTTCTTTTTTTTTTTCCTGTCACGCCGAAAAGGTCTGCGACAAAACACTCGTAAACCAACACTGACCTGCAGGAAGGCGGCGTGGTCGGTCTCCTTGAGCGCCTCGATGCAGAACTGCAGCAGCGCCGTGGTCCTCTGCAGCGTGACGGTGCAGTTGGCCAGCTGTCCCTTGAGCGCCTTCAGCTTGGCCTCGCGCTCGCGACGTGCGAACGCCAGCAGCTCGCGCCGCCGGGCCTCCAGGGCCTCGGCCAGGGCGTCGCACTGGGCCGAGATCTGAGACTCGAACGCCGAACAGTTCTCCTGCGATCCGTAGGAGAAAAAAAGAAAAATCTCACTTGGAATTCATTCACTGGAAAGGGATACACCGATGTTGTACTATAGCTGAAACACCCGTGCACATCAAATATGAGCGATTTTTCTTCACTGCAAAGCAAGAAGCTACGGACAAGAGATGATATTAATAATAAGTGGTTTGTCCAAACAGCTAACACTATGAAAGGCAGTATCGACCACTTGACCAGCCGTTAGGCACGCATGCAGATTTATTCATCTGAACTGTTCACGCGCATTTTGTTTTTCACTGACGTCATTTGCATGCGGTAAATGACAACAGTACAGGCTTGGTTGCAACCCCGGCATAAAACACCACCCTCTCAATGAAGACAAGCATTATGTCTATCAGTAGCTTCACTGAAGATATAGGCATCGATAACAACGAGCACCTCTATACATAATTGATAATAAAGCCGCTATCAATAAATTACGCGCGTGTTATAGTTTTACCACGTTAGGCAAATCACCGTGTTAAACGTCACAAAAATGGCGGGAGAAATATTTATTGCTAGTCATTAACAGGTATTGCACAAAAGATCGTGAAAATTTCCAAGAGCAATTATGGTAAATAAAGTTCCCCCTCTTTCCATAAATTTCTTGACATGTCAAACAAAGAACAAAATGACACTCGGCCCCATCTTCCTGCCCGGCCCCCCACTTCAAATCACAATGGTACCTCCTAACCCCCGAAAAAAAAAAAAATCTGCCTACGCGCCCTTGGCCATTACCAACTTTTGCTACCTGTTTACTTCCTACGTTGGTGCAGAGTTAGTAATTGCATGCGAAGAGGTCGAAACTCCAGCGGTTACTAACCTCTTGCTAACCAGATGTTAAATACCTCATCTGCTTGTAGTCGATGTCTAATGTACGAACTGGAGTTCTCCCGACACTTTTAAATCTAGCGGAAAAAATGTTTATGAGTCATGCAAAAAAAAAAAAAAAAAAACGCTTCATACCTTGTCTCAGCCGGTGTATATAATGGTTTGTGCGGTGGTTATATATAGAAAAGAAAAACACGATATATTGTTTTTATTACGGTTGATTAACAGTATTGTGCTACGTCCCCAAGCACACATAATCGGGTAGTATTGTACAGAACTATCACTCAGTATTTATTCTTACCCTTCCGAAGGTATAAGTGTTCACTGGTATACCATATGTGTTCTTCGAATAACACTATACTCGAGTGGCTTGAGAAGTACGTGTCACGTAGTGAAGTCGTTAACCTTTTATAGTGTCAGCGGTTGAGAGTGCTTGTTGTAGTTCCTGCAGATCCATGGCGGGACGGGATTCTTCACTCCCATAGTGGAGTACCTAGTATTCTAAATCGTTAATAACTTCTTCTAAACACACAATGGCTGTGTTTGTGTGAACCACCGAATGTACATTTTCTTTCAACGTCATCTCATATCTATGTTCACGTAAACGACGTCTGTTTTGTCATCATCGTTATTGTATGTCTATGAAGAAAATGTTCTGTCCCTTGAGCGCCTTGAGCTTGGCCTCGCGCTCGCGACGCGCGAACGCCAGCAGCTCCCGCCGCCGGGCCTCCAGGGCCTCGGCCAGGGCGTCGCACTGGGCCGAGATCTGAGACTCGAACGCCGAACAGTTCTCCTGCGATCCGTAGGAGTAAGAAAAAAAAAATCTCACTTGGAATTCATTCACAGGAAAAGGGTACACGGATGTTGTACTATAGTTGAAACATCCGCGTACAGCAAATATTAGGGATTTTTTCTTCACTGTAAAGCAAGAAGCTACGGACGAGAGATGATATTAATAATAAGCGGTTTGTCCAAGCAGCTAACACTTTGAAAGGCAGTATCGATCACTTGACCAGCCGTTAGGCACGTATGCATATTTTTTTCATCTGAACTGTTTAAGCTCTTTTTTTTACTGACAAGTATGCGGCCTCTGCTGACAGCCTTCGCGCGCGCTGGGAGGCCGCAATGCTCAGTTCCGTCCTCGAAGACCAAATGTGGGCCATCCAGCGGGCCGAGAAAGCCGCCAGGATTCAAGGACTCCTGGCCGTAAAACCTATATAGGCGGGGCCAATCACCCACCCCATCTACTCACCGGACTCTTAATAAAGTTCTTTCCCCCTCCTCCTCCTGACGTCATTTGCATGCGGTAAATGACAACAGTACAGGCTTGGTTGCAACCCCAGCATAAAACACCACCCTCCCAATGAAAACAAGCGTTATGTCTATCAGTAGCTTCACTGAAGATATAGGCATCGATAACAACGAGCACCTCTATACATAGTTGATAATAAAGCAGCTATCAATAAATCACGCGCATGTTATAGTTTTACCACGTTAGGCAAATCACCGTGGTAAACGTCACAAAATGGCAGGAGAAATACTTATTGCTAGTCATTAACAGGTATTGCGCGAAAGATCGTGAAAATTTCCAAGAGCAATTATGGTAAAGTATACTCTGTAAAAAGTTCCCCCTCTTTCCATAAATTTCTTGACATGTCAAACAAAGAACAAAATGACACTCGGCCCCATCTTCATGCCCCCCCCCCCCCCTTCAAATCGCAATGGTGCCTCCTAACCCCCGAAAAAAAAAAAATCTGCCTACGCGCCCTTCGCCATTACCAACTTTTGCTACCTGTTTACTTCCTACGTTGGTGCAGAGTTAGTAATTGCATGCGAAGAGGTCGAAACTCCAGCGGTTACTAACCTCTTGCTAACCAGATGTTAAATACCTCATATGCTTGTAGTCGATGTCTAATGTACGAACTGGAGTTCTCCCGACACTTTTAAATCTAGCGGAAAAAATGTTTATGAGTCATGCAAAAAAAAAAAAACAGCTTCATACCTAGTCTCAGCCGTTCTATATAATGGTTTGTGCGGCGGTTATATTGAAAAAAAAAAACACTTACGATATAATGTTTTAAGTACGATTGATTAACAGTATTGTGCTACGTCCCCAAGCACACATAATCGGGTAGTATTGCACAGAACTATCGGTCAGTATTTATTCTTACCCTTCCGAAGGCACAACTGTTCACCGGTGTACCACATGTGTTCCCCGAATAATACTATACTCGAGTGGCTTGAGAAGTACGTGTCACGTAGTGAAGTCATTAACTTTTTATAGTGTCAGCGGTTGAGAGTGCTTGTTGTAGTTCCTACAGATCCATCGCGGGACGGGATTCTTCTCTCCCACAGTAGAGTACCTAGTATTCTAAATCGTTAATAACTTCTTCTAAACACACAGTGGCTGTGTTTGTGTGAACCATAGAATGTACATGTTCTTTCAACGTCATCTCACATCCATGTTCACGTAAACGACGTCTGTTTTGTCATCATCGTTATTGTATGTCTAAGAAGAAAATGTTCTGTTGAATGTTATTGACAATAAATTTTTTCTAAACAGGGCATTGAAACCTTCACCAGTGTGTACAGAGAGGGACGGCTTTCTGCTCTCCCACAGCAGAGTACCAGTAACACTAATTCGTTTAACGTTTCCTCTAAACACAGGCGAAGTTGCAATCAGGGGCGTAGCCAGGGGGTGGCACACCGAACACGTAGACACCCCCCTCCCCGAAAACTTTTTTTTTTTGCCGTAGCATGGAGAGCGAAAAATGGCCATCTTGAGGGGGTGCCCCTCCCGAAATCAAAGTGGTGAATCCCCCACCCCTCCCGAAAAAAAGATTTTTGGCTACGCGCCTGGTTGTGATGTTAATATTGTGAAGTTTTCGTGGGAACAGTAATGTGAGAGAATTAGCCCGCTATTAGCGCCTACTACCTTTATTTTTAAAAATATTTTTTTAACAGTCTATATAGCCAATAACAGCTACACTAGTAAATGCCTCCATCGCGAGTAAAGGGACACTAAAGGCAAAAAAAGTTAACATCTCCGCGAAGGGAATCCTGATGGGATGCGAAGCAGCAGCGTTGCGGACGGGTGGCCTCATCGGTTCAACGGCGCTAACGCGGGTGGTGCGGTGAGCACTGGAAGATTCGTTTGAAGCGATGGCTTGTGTTATAGGCCTTGTCGTATCTTCAGAGTGAGTGCGGGTGCTGGACCGGAGCTGGCGCGCGTTTAGCCTCGACTGCCACGGCCTTGCGATCGGCGAAGAGCACGCCGAGAGGTTCCTGCAGACATTCGACGTCGGAGTTCGCAAAGACCAGATCCGTGCACGCTCCTTTTATCGTATGTAGGGTAGTTTCCGTTCCGCCAACAAGCACTTCAGCGAGTGCACGTTACGCATGTAATCGAAGAGCCATTCTCCTCCTCCGCTGACGTCAACGTGAAAGTATGGTGCGCGTCGACACGCCTCGCCGCTATCGGTCAGCGTCTCCTCCAGACAGCGCTGAACCTGTTCCTTGATTTGACTGATATGTGGGGTTTAACGCCCCAAAACCTAACAATCTAGTAATGGACTAACCACTCGAGTGAGCTCTATTCACTAACTAACTACGTAGTAATTTTCACTAACCTGCATTTTACTACCTTCTCTTACTAAGAGGCTATAGTGCTTAATGTGACAAGGGACTGGCTAGTATTTAGTTAGTGAATACGCCAACCTTCATTTTTGATAGATTGGTTGATATGTGGGTTTTAACGTCCCAAAACCACCATATGATTATGAGAGACGCCGCATTGGAGGGCGCCGGAAATTTCGACCACCTAGGGTTCTTCAACGTGCACCCAAATCTGAGCACACGGGCCTACAACATTTCCGCCTCCATTGGAAATGCAGCCGCCGCAGCCGGAATTCAATCCCGCGACCTACGGGTCAGCAGCCGGGTACCTTAGCCACTAGACCACCACGGCGGGGCGCTGAACCTGTTTCTTCGGCAGGTCGGAAGTGAGGTACGGCACGAGGATCACGTCATTACCGTCCGCGCGGCAACGCACTCGGAGCGGGAGCATCTTCAAGAAATTCCGAATAGTGCCTCCAGGTCGCATCCGGATCGGCCGGCGGAACCCGGCGCTTTCCAGACGTTGCCAACGACGGAGACGTCGAGGATTCACCGGCACTGGCCTTTCGCTGCCATCGTTTCCACTCAACTTCCGTGGCTCGCGTCTCGTCGGTGTTGCCGACGCGTCGAAGACGCTTGCGCTGGGCTTCCTAGGCTCGCGTTTCGTCGGTGTTATCCACGCGACGGCTCCATGCATTCTCGAACGCGAACGGCGTGTTTGCCTCGCACCTCGTCGGTGTCGTCGGTCTTTTACTACCGACGCTTTCGTTCGGCTTCCCTGGCTCGCGCCTCGTCGGTGTTGCAGGCGCGACGTCGCCATTCGCGAACGCGATCGGCTCTGTTAACACTCATCGGCGACGCCCGGTTAGGCCAAATCGCTTCGCCGCATGTTTTGGCGGACGAAAGACCTTTACACTCCGGCGTCCTCTTCATCACAGATAAACGAGCCGAAAGTGTTCACTCGATGTGCGCTTGAACGTTGCGAGCGGCGGAGAGGGTGAAGCGAGAGAAAGAGGTGACACGTGGCAAGCGCGCGGCAGGCAAGAGAAAGAGTGACCTCACCACACACTGCAAGAGAAAGCGTGACCTACTTGGCACCGCTCCAACACCTGCGGCGAGGGGAGCGCGGCGCGGCGCGTTGGCACATAGACGCTGACGGACAGCGGTACACAGGCTAGTCAAAGAGCTGTTTTACATCTGACATCAAGTCGACGCTGATTGTTGAAATAACGGTCCAGAAACGTCATAGTGCAACTTTGGTGCCAGGGAAGTGCTTATTTTAGACGTCACTGTTATTTATTTTGTTTGTTTTTTATTAGACGTCACTGTTACCATGCCCAACGTTGCCCGTCTTTACGCGGCAGCCGACACCAGTAGCAGCAGAGCGAAAGTCGCCGTAGCCGCAGTAGCAACAACGGCCACCGAACAATTGGCTGCTATCTCGGAAGCCATGGTTCTGCTTTCTTTCTTCAAATGGGCCCCACTAGATGGCGCCACTTAACCAACCGGAAACGCTCTCGTGAGACGAGCGAGGACAGCGGCCCGTGCCAATGGGATCCCGGACTAAGGAGCCCATTAACCGACAATCCTTCCTCGGTCGCAAATAATCTCTCCCAACTTTTCAACCACACACGCCATTCTCCAGAGTAACGACAGGCGTTTTTTTTTTCGTCCTCTATAAATCATACAGGAAAGAACAAGCAGCACTTTATTACGTCTCTTTATGCACGGAAAGTTCCTTTTTTATTGCAGCTAGTTTTATTGTGATTAATTGTAGGCGAACACTCTCACGTCATCGGGATAATTTTGCAAATGTCCCCCTCGTGGCGCACGTCGTGTGATACATTTAGCTTAATTTCTTGGCAAGTAAGGCACTCCTATTGATAATATTGCTGTTTTAGACGTCGCAATGCATTAAGCTTTCACTCTGACATAAATTTTCATTTGCCTTTAGTGTGCCTTTGAAAACGGCAAGGGTAGTAACAGTACTGCCCTTGCCGTTACTAACTGCAGGGTGGCAACATGCGTGACAAGCAGTAACTATCTAAAGTTAGCAAGCACTGCTATGTTGTTGTTTTTTTCAGTGTGTAGGTGTCGCAACAGTACAGATGCCGACTTCATAGTGCGCGAACCTTAAAGCAGGAGAGTTGTCCTTCATAACCAATACAGCAACAGCAG